TAATAATCCGAAGGCCGAATCAACCCAGGTGCCCATAGCATACAGGACCTGACACAGCAAAGCTTATAATTGCTGAGAATATTGTGAAGAGAATGGGTAAAATTTTCATAGTCTGAGGCGTGAAATTTGCAGCCAGGATTGATTCATTCCATTGTCATTCATCTGAATAAGGCTTTTTTACTAACATAAATTTCAATTGACTTATCCTCTGTGTTGTTTTGGTGAAGAAATGTAGGTTTTCTTTTCAGGTGGGGAATGGTACATTTAACCGAGCAAAGCTCCTTAATGTTGGTGTCCGGGAAGCCCTGAAGGATGAAGACTGGGACTGCCTTCTCCTGCATGATGTGGACCTAGTACCTGAGAACGATTATAATCTCTATGTTTGTGATGAATACAATCCCAAGCACATGGCTAGTGCCATGGATAAGTTCCAGTACACGTGAGTGCCTCCATTTGCTTTGGATGTATGTATCCTAACTGATTCACTCTCAGCAGAGAAAGTATGAATGGGGACAAGGAAAGATAAAACCTTTGAGAGGTTTTCTGTTTGGTTTGCACTAGTAACTTCCCCAGAAAAGGTATTCTTGGCCTAAGTATGCAATCTTGAACAGTTCCTTGCCAGCAGTTCCCTGTTCCACTGTTAGATCAGCTTAGCAAATGACTGCCAGATTTCTGTCTGCCTTTCCTTCCAGAATAAAAGTATAGGGTGGGAATTATTGAAGTATGTGGAAGATGTGCAATAGTATGCAGGTATTTTGAACTAACCCAAGATGTGAATTTCAAAACCAGCTTTACTTTGGTCTGGGGCAGGGGAAGGAACAACACAGGAGATGGCATATGATAGAAATTACACTGATTTTGCTCTTTTGGGTTTCAGCACTGTCATGACTCTAAGGTATCCTGTTAATACATGTGTGACTTAGATCATGTTGTTAGTTTGTGGAGGTATTAGCTTTCAGAACTGATGCTTTTTTTTTTCTTTCTTTCTCTTTTAGTCTGCCATATAAATCCTTTTTTGGGGGTGTATCTGCTCTGACTCCAGAACATTACATGAAGATAAATGGGTTTCCAAACACATACTGGGGCAGTGGTGGTGAAAATGACGACATTGCTACAAGGTACTAATGCACAGGACAGGCTTAAAGTAGAACGAAGCTGGCTAGTGAAGCATGTAGCATTACCCTAGGAAAAGAACTAAGGTGTAGTTCCTTCACGTGTTTGCAGTATCATTATAATCTAACAAGCTGTTGGCATTGGGAATGGTTGATGTCAGAAGATGCTCAGAGTCTATGAATCCAATAATTGTATGCTGGGAGGACAAAGCTTTCCTCAGACTATGGAGGGCTGAATGTTACTTCACATCCTTGTGCCTTCAGTCACTCTGGAGTGCGTCCAAGGAGTTGTAACCACCACTAGTTGACAAGTGACACTTGACATTAACAGCCCCAAGGGAAGGAAGGAATCTGCAAGCTTGATGAATAAGAAAACCAAGAAGGTACTTACTAATTCTCAGACAGTTGGGAATTTAAGTTATGTTAAGTGCATCTAGGTTGCTCCAAGTATTACCTAATCACCAATACCTGGAATTAAGGAACACAAGGAATTCTAACTTCTGTCTTCAGTGCTGGGTGATGGAGAAGCCTGCACATTACTCTAAGTCAGTGACAGCAAGATCTGATGTTTTTTCTTGTACTTTAGTTGCCATGGCAGCAGCATGCTATAGAAGGGAATACAATGAGTTTACTTCCAGGTACTCTGCCTAATGCGAATTCTTCAAGTACAAAATCATGGTTGTAGCTTCTTTATTCAGCTTTGTAGTTGCACTGTGCACCTTCATCATCCTGCACTGAGGCAAGCTCATGGGGAGTTCATAAAACTTAACTGACAATAAAGGCCTTGTGTGTTTTTTGGTCTTGCACAGTGTGACAAGTTACACAGTTACAGTGGAGTGTTCTGTTTGAGGACTGTAGGAGTTTTTACAAAGCAGTATTCTTTTGGGAATTGAAAGTCATGTTTTTCTAACACAGAATTCCTCCTTTTCCTTTCAGAGAAAGCTGACTAAAAGGGTGTATGGTTGTTTAGATATTGAGCATTTACAAAAGGAATGTAATGTCAGGAAAATAACCTTTAAATCAAACACTAAAATGTTGGGCCTATTTAACTGTTCTTAGTGCAGCTTAGGCATCTAATGTTGTTTCAGTACCAGTGGTAGAGAGTCATACCAGTTATGCATAAGAGTGCACTTCCTTACAGAAATCTCTTAAGGGAAGTAAGTTATGTAGATCCCAAAACAGCCCTTTCTTGAAGGAAAGTAAATCATGTTTTGTACTACTTGTACTAATGATTACTAACAATTACTAAAACTTGTACTAATGATTACCAGTGTTCTAGCCCATAGGTACACAGAGGCCATGGCCAGTGTTTGTTAATGATTTATTTGCAGTCTGAAGTTGCAACCTGCAGAAGTTAGGAATAAGCAGGCTATTTTTGAATGTCCAGCTTGATGCACTTACTGGGATTTGGATTTTAGGAGGTGCTCAAGCACTTCTTACTGCATACCAACAAAATTAATTAATATTTGAAATGGCACATGGCAATGTAAAAAAAAAAAAAAATCCTGTGTAAAGATTTTTATGCTGTGATAGTGCTTGTTAAAGCAGAGTTCACGAAAGAAAAAAAAAAACACTGGCTGCTACTTAAGAGTTGTGAGACTGCAGTACTCTTTTAATATTAGTCCTAGCAAATGCCAGGATCTACCTTTTATTAGAAGGAGACACTAATTGGAACTGCTTATGTGTTAACATTATCAACTCCAGGAAAATCTGCTGAGTTCTTCTTAGGAGTAAATTAACATATTAGCTTTAATATTATGTCTTTAGTTTAATCTTGCGATGCAAAAACTGTAACGGGAAAGCTAGTTTAGTATTCTTGCATTTTCTTGTCTTTTTGATTGAACGTGCAATAAGCTTATGTTCAGAAAACAAGAAACCCTGTCTAAAACTCAGTCTGAAATAATACTACATCAAAGTGTCAATGATCAGTTCATCATCAGCATTTGATGGCTCTACAGAACTGAAAATATGTTAGTCTAGACTCCTTCAGTTTTGTAACAGTCCTGCTTCAGTGTGGCTTGCTGCCATACTAGATCTCAATGGAAGGCAATGAAATGCTGCAAAGATGCCAGCTAGATAACCTCAGTTGGGCAAACATTCCTTCTTACATTCACCGGAATTTTCTCTACCTAAGAGCTGCCCTGTGATAACAAAAGTTTGCTAGCCCTAGCACTATTACAGGCACTTTTTATTGGTAAACTAACATAGACGCCATCAGCAATGGCTTGCTTGAAAGTCACCCAAAATGGTTTTTAGGAGCTCTCTTCTGGAATTCTGAGCCTGCAGTCACTTTTTTCTTATCTAACTGTCCTGCAGCTGAGCAATCCCCATTTGTTTATCTGGTGCCTGTATTTATCACTAATCCTTTACAAAACCAGTCCTCTAACTAGGCCATCGGAATGAGTAGCACTTCTCAAAGAATAGGGAGAAGCTTAATCTGGGTCTGGAATTCAGGACTGGCTTCCTTTCAGAAATTCCAAGTTTGGGGATGTTTGGTGGTATTTTTTTGTTTGTTGTTTTTTCAGTTTAGGTAAAGGACCTCCGGGCAGTAAAAGCTCTGCTCTTATAAGAAAGTGAAAATAATGTTCAATTATCAGATTGACAGGAATTGCTCTTGAATGCTCTGTACGCTGTTGTTCTCTCCCTGTTTGCTATAATTCTCTTTGTACCCTGTTGAAGTACATTGCAGCCGGGAGCTTTCTAGCCCAAATCTGATTAGAACCTGCCAGAGAAGATAATGTGGCACTGTGCTGTTAAACTCCCTCCCTCCACCTTCTGCCTTTTGCTTTGATTACATTAAGACTGAAAATAATCTCTGAATTTGAACTTCCCTATAACTAAGACTAGAAATTGTATCTTTATGCCTAAACAAAGATTTTCTTTGTTGTTTTAAAGGATTCGGTTAGCAAATGAAAGTAGTCCGGACATCACCTCACCTTGGACGTTACAAAGTAATGAACTACAATGACAAGACAGAAACCCAAGAGCCTTGGAGAAGGTAACTGTTCTGGGTGGGGAGGAGGGATGCAGTTAGGAGGCCTCTCTTTACATTGTGGCAGGTTGACTGTACCATCATCTTCCCCAAAACAGGCAGAAAGTATACCTAGTGCCACTGCTTGTTCTTCTGCTGTAATGTGGCTATCTAAAGAAGGCTCCCAGTCAGTTTCAACTGACTACTGTTGCTCCCAAGGATTTCTCCTAGTTTTCTATTTTTTTGCTATTGTTAAGGACATGTGCTAGCTAGGAAGCTAACACATACCAGACTTAAGCATCAAATTACTCAAGGAATAAAACTTAAAAAAAATAGTGCCTGTTATGTAAATAAGGAGAGTTCAGTTTGAAGAGGTACTTTGTTACAACTTCCCTAGAGTAAGAACTGGCTCTTCAAGCTGTGTGGATTTACGATGTGCCATTAAAGTAGCAGAAAGCAGTGTTCTAGTTTGAAGACATGAGGAAGGTGCCATGAGAGACCTTAGCAAAGACCCAGTTTTATACAAAAGAGCTGGAGAAGGGTGTTGGGTCAAGTGTGGTGGAGGCTTCCCATACCAAGACAATGCCAACTTCCCCCTGTCATCTCAAAACTCAGGTTTCTATAAAAACCCTCTCTGAAAACCTATGTCCAGCAGCCTATATACATGATTGCTGCAAGCCTCTTCATTGCACTCCCAGGTCCCTCTAAGCTGATGCTAGTTTCATGGATTTTTTGCAGACTGTAGTTGCCACCTCACTGGTCTCAGTCTACTTAGGTTCCAGTACAAATTGCCTTCATTGTATAGAGTAAGTTCACACTGAGTATTCTAAGCTGTTTAGTCTTACAAAGTGCCTTCTCTCTCTAGTTTGTATTATGTGAGAATAATCCTCTCGGGGCTTTTTTGCTCACAGCTTTCATCTGCTAAGCATTTGCCCCTGCTGGAAGACTGTTTCTTCTGCAGCTTCAGCTGCAGCCATCACCATTGTTCTAAGTGCAGGTATTCTTCCTTCTTCAGGCCTACTTCTGGACACAACACCAGAAAAACATGGAAGGATGATGGAATGAATTCATTAGAGTTCAAGCTCCTTTCCAGGATAAAGCATCCTCTTTATACCAACATCACTGTGGACATTGGCTATGTCCCCCCATTTTTGTAAGAGAATGAAAGCAAGCATGGGGGCTCAGCATGGCAGCATGCATATGGGTGTTCAGCCTCTACCTCCTGTTGTACAGTATGCACCACCTGAGACTAATCCTTTTGTCTTTCATGCATCTCACTTTTCTTCTCAGTGTATAAGATTTAGAAGAAAAGGCTTCAGGAATAGGGTATGATTAATAAAGAGGACAAGACTTACTGTAAAAATTGTCAAAGCACTGTAAAATTAACAACTGAGCCAGACCCACCTCCCAGCCCTGAGGCCTGGGAGATCAAGTTGTTCTTGACAGTGAGCTGACCCAAGTTTTCTGGAACCTTTGTTCCACAGCTGGATAGCTCTGTCCTGCTTCTTACTCAAGTGTTAATTGGGATGCAAGCCATTCTGTCAGATAGGCCTCTAAAGTGCTATATTTTGAGAAAGTGTTGATACCAGTTACAGTTCTGTAAATCTCTTTTGTGAATTTGAGTAAAATAAATTATTTATTAAGAGTGTAATAAAGGAGAAAGTTGCCCTGAAACCAGAGCTTAAGTCCTTGTTTTTTTTCTGGACTGATCCTTCAGTGTTTAAATGTTTTTATTGTAGCCATATGAATGGGACCTGAGGCTGTCACCTAGTCTAACCTCCTGCTCAGAGCAGGGAAATTAATCTAATGTTTAAGCAACAGCTGAAATATCTTTCAAAGTTGATCTGTCTTCAACATAAAATACTTCTGAGAAATGAAATACTAGGGGAAAAATGAAGTCAAACATGTCAACAGTGGAGCTGTGAAGAATGCATTTGCACTTACCCGGCTGTGAGACTGACACAGTCTGCCCCAGACTGTGTCTGCTCTGTAATCTCCCCTTCTCTATAAAGTCAGTGAGTAACACTGCCTGGCAGGTCCAATTATTTTGCAAGAACTTTTTGCTTGTTACTTGCAGATGATATTAAAATTCCTTCTTCCCTGAAAAGCTGCATCTATCCCACTAACACCTAAGAATTTAAAGCTTCACCCTTCTCTGCAGTTGGAATAATGAGTCAACCAGCTACAGAATCATTCTCCAAAACTGTAGTAAGCAGAAGTTCCTTTTTTGGCATGTGTCCTAAAAGAAACTCTCCCAACCCTGGCTTTACATCTACCTCCAAGGGGTACATGTCCAAGAAGCAAGAATAAGGACTGTTAGGTACAGTGCAGTAAGGAAAGTACTCTAATCAAGATTTTAGCAGAAATCCTGCAGCAGTTTAACCACGGACTTTCACCAAACTTCTAAAACAAGAAACATAAATTAATAATGGCCTGGGTATGTATACAAATACGCACTCTGCTAACAGTGTGGCTCCAAAGCATTAAAAACGTGGACAGCAATTTCTCTCCATCTGACATAGCTGGCCACTGCCTTTTCTTCCAGGTCTGCAGTCACACGCAGCCTCCAGCCTACTGCAGAACTGAGGCTTCCATTTTGCCACAGGACACTTCATCAGTCCCACTCACTGCAGGTTGAGCTGAGCTCATGAAGGACAAGAGAAGCCTTTTGAATTCAATGGAGTGTATTTATTGAGAGACATGTAACATCTCCTCGCCTATTACCATTATTGCCCTTCCCTCACACATAAGCAGTTTTTCCTCAGGCTGGAAAAAAAAAGCTTTTCTCAGCAAGTTTATAGTTGGTGAAGAATTCTTGTGCTTTTAATGAGAAAAGACTGGCCTGTTCCTTTTGAAGTCACAGTAGTGTTGGCAGTGCTACGCTGCCTTCCCCCTACAACAAATAAGTTTAGGAATAGTTGCAAGAACAAAATTTCTTTCAGGAGACTTAGTTCAAGTCTTAGTTCCAGTCTTCCACTGGACCAGCCCAAACAAGGACACTTCTGCAAACGTCCCAGCAAAAAGTGCATAGAAGAACATGAGGAACTTATGAGATCTTGGGCTGCATGCTGAAATCCACCGTGATGTTGATGTATAAAGGGTTATGTTCCACTGAGAGCAGTTTATATGAACAAGAGTTCAGCCCATCCGTTTTCCATTTTCTAGATACCTGATGTAGAAGTTTCATCCTGAGGACAAAGAGGAGAAAAATCTTCACTGATGTGCACAGGAGTGGAGTTCTAAGCTCTTTCCCACCACTACTAAACTTAGAGGCAGAGCTACAGCCATTCTCTATCTGCTGGGAATGTAAAGTCATGCTTTTCCTGTGCTCAGCATGGACAATCAGACATGGGAAGAGTCCTTTGATTTGAGGAGGAGGTTTAAACCATTTAATTTCAGAAATCATATGCTCAAATCATATCCAGGTAACTGTAACTTTGGAAGTTTAAAGAACATCACCCAGTCAATTCTAGGCAGATCTCCTGTACAGAAAAACAGCTGCCAGCTGCAAACAGTGGTGTCACAGGGGTGTCCCCCAGAGCCTCCAAGTACCACAAAATGCCTATTTGTCCTAGAGCAAACAACTTGGCCCCCAAGTTCCTGGCTTCTAACCACATACCAAGACAATGCAAGGTGGAACACTGTCTGTTCTTGACTCACCTCTCTCCATTCTCCTCATTACCATGGTCTCGTTTGTGGAAGATCATCGTGTACCTGGCTACATTGGCAGATGGCCTCACCACTCTCATCTTCTGCATCTCAACCCTGGAAGAAGCAATAGTGCCGTAAGTAAGACATGACCTCTAAACACGCTCTTAAGGAAAAAAATCCACACATTTGGAGATTTCATCTCTTATAGATGCCGCAGAAGCAAGCATAGGGAACTGTAGGAAACTCATCTTCATCTCTTCCAGGGCATGTTTTGCCAGAGAAATGGAGTTGTGTTCCTGAAGAACAGGTCCAGTAGGGTGATGGATACCCCTTGCTGTCAGGTAGCTACTACAGTAGAGATCATGTATAATGTCTGCTTAAAGCTCTACAACAAAGTACATTTAAATTAGTATTGTCTGGTCTAGTCTGTACTGCCCTCTATTAAATCTAGGAGGTCTGTGGCAAGATTCTACATTTTGCAACAAATTCATCTTAACTCCTGCAATAAAGCCCCTATACTTGATAGTTTTCCACTTAAAAAGAAAAAAACACTCTTGTTTTTTAATAGTTGGCAGACAGTTGCAAAATTTTTATTTGTTGACACAAAGAAAATTTTCTTTCTGAGAACAGTGCCAGGAACACTGAGCCCCACGCATGGATTTAAGTGTCTGACAATCAGCCACTTGATTGGAGCTTTTGGCCTTAAAACATTTGTGGAACACAACAATTTTGTTCTGTCAGCAGAAAGGGCTAACTTCACGACAACAGAATTAAGGAATAGCCCAAATTTTTGCTAGTCAGCTGAAAGAGCAATAGGAAACCAAGAACTGAAGAAACTAAGTCCCTCCAGCTTTCCAATGACTGTATCAAACACAACAAAAGATCTGAAAAATCTTTGTGATGCACACCTTAGGAAGGGGCCCACAAGAGATTTAGCAATTTAGCACAGAGGCAAAACAGTAGGACCTAAGGGCACTACAGCCCTGAGTTCCTGAAGATACTGAAGGGGATGCTGCCATCTGGCTGCAAGGATCTCTCTGTACAACAATCCACGGAGACTGTGAGCTTCCTGTTACCTACCCACTGCAAACCCTGTAACCAGCCCAGTGCAAGATCTACCCAAGACGAAAGGCATGAGGCAAGTCCAGTTGCACTGTGCACTCTGGGTCGTATGATTTGGTTTCCACATCAAGACCACAACAGCTGCAAAATTATGGAGGTGCCACATCCAAGCAAGCATCGGTTTTGAGTCCAACCATTTGCAAACATTGTGGAGACCTCAGTAAATCCTACTGATCTGCTGCACAGCTGGTTCTCTGCTGCCCACAGGAACATTTGAAAGAAACTATTATCACCTTTGTTTGTTCATTAACTGTGACACTTCTCAGGAAGCAGGGGAATAAGATGGTGCCAAGCCATCCCCTGCCACTATAAAAGCCAGCTCCCAAGACATCACAGAAGTTTGTGTCTCTAGCTAGGGGTAGGGAGGAAAAAAAAAAGTTGTGATTAAGGTGGTACAAAAATCCATGTCACCAGTAGACCTTTTAGATTTCTGCGATACAGCTACCTGATCTGCTGAACTGACACAGAAGAAACAACTTTCATTTGGAAGGTCCTAACTTCAACACACTCGATTTCACCAGCGTAATTATTTAACATCACCAGGGATACCAATTTTGTTTCCAAAATGTTTGTTTGCATATTTAAGCAACTGAAAAGGATAAACACAAGAATGACAGAGTACACTATACCCAAGTTACAAACCGAGAGGCTCTGCCAGCAGAGCTTGCAGGGTTGTGGGTTTTCTTCTGTGGTTTTTTTTGTTTTGTTTTACTCCCCCCCACTCCCCTCACCCCGTTCCTCCACTAACAACAATGCAGGATTAGAGGTTTCTTCCTAGGCAAAGGGCAAAAGGACTTCTTTGTCTCACTAAACCTCTCAAACTAACAAGTTTTTCCTACATTGACAGGCACGTCTGTGAAACTAATTTTAACAAGAGGCAAAGGGCATATGCATATGCATGCAGTCTTTCTAAAATTAAAGTTATTCACTATCTTAACTATAATCAATACCACCCACATACAAACTAAGCCCTGCTTGGAATAAATATGGTAGTCAATGAATGCAAAAAACCCAGCCCCACCAAACCCCAAACACTCCCAAGTATCTCTTTGGCAAATCACACTCCACACTTCAATCTTATTATTTCCATTATAACCAATTTCCAAGCAAGGATACAAACACTGTGTGGCAAATCTCAGGCATGCCTAATCTTTTCAAAGAGTAAACCATTCACAGAACTGTATCTTGCCCTCCAAATCCTCACTGCAATACTGTTTTGAATTGAAGACTCCTTTACTGCTCCACCTTCGGAAGCCAGGTGTGAAATCACACTGACTTTTTTTTAAATCAATGCCTGCCTCCTTCTTTCACACCCCGATCACTCTAGTTCTTTATTTATTTATTACCTGATTCGAAGATCATCATCTTCTCCACCCCAACCCCAGTAGTTGTTAGAGAATCCATTCACCTTGGAAAACTGATCTCTTGTTAGAGCAGTTACTCCTCCAAAATATCCCTGGTACCGTAACCTAGAAGTACACAAGAGAGAAAAGAACTAAAAGTCAAATTCTACCAACAATTAAAATATCCCCCCGAAACTCTGGATCTAGACCTGTCTTTCACAGAGTTAAGAGTGCAAGAAATGCATAATGTAGGTCCGGTTCTCTTACTCTTTTCACAAAGAGATAGTGATTTGCTTTAGGCCAGAAAAAGTTAACTTTCCAACAGAAAGAACAGAGCCTTCTTCAGTAGTTGCTCTCTCTCTTTACACAACTCCCCTTGCCAGTCTAAAAGGCACTTCAAGGACTGGTATGAATAGAACAAGAAAAAAGCTACACACTAATACAGGAGAAGCTTTGCAATACTAATAGCAAGCCATCAACTACCTTAGAGCTGAATCTGAAAAAACTGGAATGAAATTGGATCACAGCAATTGAGCACGTACTATGGGACACCTCACCTCCATCTATAAATTACTGCAGGACCAATTCCAAGGCAAGGTACTGTACAAGTTACTTATTAACATAATGTAATGGAGCTCAGCTCTAAAGGAGCTCATTTCCAACTTCTACCTTCCTTGTTCTGGAAACTGCATCCACTTTAAAAAGGTAATTACATACTATGCTTATTTATCTTCTTATACCATTTTGCTAATCGCTTTTTGTGGTACTCTCCTCTTTCTTGGCCCTTAAGGTAAGTGTTACAACACAGCCTCTACTATATTACCATTTCGAACTTCAGAGGTTATGCGCACATGGCTGCAGATGGCATTTTGATTTCTAGATGTATATGAATCTAAACAGATGAACAAATCAACAAGACTAGAAAGTATCCATCATGGCAATTTACATGCCAGACAAGCAAAGGTGCAATGCTTATTATTGTTTCTGGTTTGTCATAAGTTAAAAACCAAAACCAAAAAAAAATACAATAAAAAAAATCAACACACACAGCCTCCCTCACAGACTGTTTTTCCTAGATGATTTTTGCACCTGTCTTAGGATCACAGAAGAATTGCAGAGGTTGAAGGGGCCTCTGGAGATCAAGCAGTCCAGCCCCACTGCTCAGAGCAAGGTCTGCTGGAACAAGCTGCTGAGGACCATGTCCATTCAGGCTCTGAGCGTCTCCAAGGATGGAGATCCCACATTCTCTCTGGGCAGCCTGTTCCAGTAGTTGACCACCCTCACAGGTTTTCTGCATGTTTAAATTTCCTGTATTTCAGTTTGTACCCAGTGCCTCTCACTGAGAAGGGTCTGGCTCCACCTTTATTCCCTTCCAATAAGTATGTATACAGATTGCTAAGATCCCTCCTGAGCTGCCATTTCTCCCCACTGAGCAGTCTCAGCACTCTCAGCCTCTCTTCATACGTCAGACACTCCAATCTCAATCATCTCCATGGCACTTCCCTAGACTCACTCTCGTATGTCCGCATTTTTACCCTACTGAGGGAACCCAGAACTGGACACAACACTGCAGATATCATCTCACCAGTGCTGAGTAGAGGAGCATAATCACCTCCCTCAACCTGCTCATGACACCCCTTCCTAAAACTGCCCAAGATGCTACTGGCTGCCTTTGCAACAAGGGCACGTTGCTGGCTGATGTTCAGCTTGTTGTCTGCCAGGACCCCAGGTCCTCTTCTGCAAAGCTGCTTTCCAGACAGTTGGTCTCCAGCATGCACTGGTCTGAGTTATTCCTCCCCAGCTGCAGGACTCTGCATTTCCCTTTAGTTAACTACCTGAGATTCCTGTTAGCCAAGTTCTCCAGCCCAAAGTCCCTAGTGCATGAGCCACCCCTCCATGACTTACATCTTCTGACAGCTTGCTGAGGGTGCACATCCCCTGCTGTCCAGGTTATTAAGATGTTAACCAGTACTGGCCCCAGTATTGACCCCTGGGGTAAACCACAAGTGACTGGCCTCCAGTTGGACTTTGTTCCACTGATAGAAAACCCTTTGAGCGCAGCAGTTCTGCCAGTTTTTCAGTCCACCTCACTGTCCACTTATCTAGTCCATACTTAATCACACTGTTAATTGGGATGTAATGGGAGACAGTGTTGAAACCCTTCTAAAGTCAAGATAAACTACCCACTACTCCTCCTTAATCCACTAAGGTGGTCAGCTCAGAGAAGGTGAGTTTGGTCAGGCATGACTTGTAAATAGCTTTGCTTCATCACCTTCTCAGAGATCAAAACGTGAGGTCAACTAGCCTGTAGTTCCTCAAATCCTCCTTCTTGCCTGTCCTGAAGATAGAAGTGACATTAATTTTCTTCCAGTCCTCAGGAACCTCCCCCAGTCATCATAACCCTTCAAGGATAACAGAATGGCCTCACAATGACAGCAACCAATTCCCTTAGTACTCATGGATATATCCCATCAGGTCACATAGTTTTATGGTGTATGCCCAGTTTACGTATTCCTTAACTTGATCCTCCTCCACTAATGTCTTCGTAAGTGCAGACTTTTCCACTGGTATCAGAAGCCTGGGATTCCTGAAGCCAAGTCTTGCCAGTAAGGACCGAGGCAGAGAAGACAGCAAGTATCCTGTCCTTCTTCTTGTCTTTTGTCACCAGGTCCCCTGCCACACAGCAGGTATGCATTCTCCCTAGTCTTCCCAGCAGCTGTAGAAGCCCTTCACGTTACCCTTTAAGTTGCTTGCAAGATTCAGCTCCAGAGGGGCTTTGGTTTTTCTGACCCCATCAACATATGTTTAGAGAGCATCTTCTGTGTCCTCACAAGTCACCAGACTCTGCTTCCATCTCCTTCATGCTTCCTTTTTCTGTTCCAAGTTTTCTCAGAGCACCTTGTTCATACATGCAGGCCTCCATCCACTTTTGCTTGAGTTCCTGCACGTGGAAATGGACCTATGACAGGAGGCAACCCCTGAAGATCTCCCAGCCCTCCTGAATGCCTCTTCTCTCCAGGGTCATCTCCCAAGTGACACTTCCAAGCAGATCCCTGAACAGGAAGTCCAAGGTTGTGATCCTGCTATTTGCCTCATTCCCTGCTTGTTTCTGACATTCCCATCCCTGATGAGTTCTGCCTTGTTTATAAGTATGAACTTCAGCAGAACACATAATTTCATCAGTTCTGATCACATGTGTCAGGAAGTTATCATCAACTCACTTTGGAAATCTCATGGATTACTTTGTGCCCTGTTGTGTTGCCCTTCCAGCAGATACCAGGACGATTAAAGTTTTCTTTGAGGACCAGGGCCTGTATACATGAGGCTTCTTCCAGTTGTCTGAAAGAAGCTTTAACTGTCATTTGCTGGGACTGTGATATGCTTCCCAAAAGATGGTGCTATCTATATAAACATACAAAAAAGGATTGTTCTAGGCAGATGCAGCTTCTCATGTGCTCTACCTGTGGTTTTTTAATATGTCTGAAATTTACTCTTCCTTGCTCTCTCCCCTTTATTTCCTCTCCTAGAAGAGACCAGCCATGAGGTAGGGGTTATTATTAAAACTAAGAGTTTTAATAACTCCTACTGAGTTTTAATTATGCATTACTACCTTGAGAATTCTGCTATGGGTACCACAGAGAAATGCAGTGAACAGGTGGAATGGACAGTGAGGAGATGCCACAAACAGCAACAGCAGGGAAGAGCCTTCCCCAACCATGTGTTCAGGCTACACTACCAGTCACCAGCAGCACCACTTTCCCCCATTCCAGCAGCCTGGTAGGGGTTGGGAACTGACTGCCCACCCACGTATCCATATATGCACCCTGTAATTCCTCTACACCACTGGAGGGGCAGACACCAAAGGAGCCACACCTGTGACCAGGACAGTGCTGCCCACTCAACCCTCCTCAAGCAGAACAGAACAGAACTGGCAGGGCCCAGGCATATCTTGCTCCTAGGTGACACCATCTGTAAAAATGCACCTCTGTAACAGTGTTTGACCACCTCTTCCCTGAGGGCAAGAGAATATCATCTCCTTTGGGATTTTTAAAATTGGATTGAAGAAACCATACAATAGAAATTATCATTAGGAAAGGATGTTGTGCTGGTCTCAAGGAAATAGCTTAGCTCTGCTAGAAAATTTTTTTCTCACCCTTACCTTCAAAAAGTTTGAATATATAAACCCTTTCCTAAAGAACACAAACTAAAACTTGGGTTGAGATAACTCCCAAGGAGCACAGCTGCTAAGATTAGCATGCACTGCATCACCATAGAGGATTATCCCCCGGAAGAAAAACAAACAAAATAACTGAAGAAACCCATAGAATACCCACATTCCTGCCCAGGATGTTTTGTGTTAATGCAAACCATGTATGACTTCAGTTTTCCCAACCCATCTAAGTGACATGTCTTGGTATGCTCACCTCGGCCTAAGCAAAACACTGAGGTCACCCAACTGGGATTTTTCTCAGCTCAGTTCAGGTATCATTCTTGAGCTCAAGATCTGAATTCCTTCAAATGCACCCAGGAATTCCCTTGGAACCAGATAATTATTATCTCCATAGATGTGTAAATAGGGGCAATGACACAGAAAAGAAAGCATGAATCAAATTCAAGCCATCAGTATCCTAGTGAATACTGGTGCAGGGTATTCACAACACCCTAGTGCAGGGTGTTCACAACAAAAACGTTTGGTCACTGTAGGACTCTTTAAAGCCAAAGCTTAAGGATGACCCATAACTAATAGCTCCTTTCCACAAACAGTATTAATTTCCTCAGGTTTCTCCTAAGACAACCCTTTATTAAAATAAAAAAAAAATCCATAATCCATCTGCATGCTTAGTTAAGCTAAACACTTTCAGTAACTAAAGCACAGGAGGTTAAGTAAAGCACCTCAAGCTTTGTGCCACATTACTAGCCTGGATTCTATATGCCTGTCAATTAACAAGAACAGTTTTTCCTGTTGCTTTGGTGCACAACCTTCCTAGAGCCCTCAGCATTCTCTCTACAAGGCATATTGCTCTAAAAACTTGTCACAAGCCTAGTTCATTTGTGCTTGTTCCTGTTTCCACTGAATAACTGGAAAGTGAATATTACTCCGTACAATTTGCACATCCCACCTCTCTCATATATTTAACAAAGGAAACACAAAAGTAAAGCAAAGCTTTACTTCAAAGTACTCTGATATCAGCTTTTCAAAAGTCCACTTATAATTAATATTTAGAGTAACATGACATAAGAGGTGACTCTTGAAAGAAACACATTCAGTGAAACCACTCTAGTCACTAAATTCACCAAGCACAGGAGCCTTTTTTCTCTGGGGTGGACTGAACCTGACTTTTCACATTAAACTATTTACATCACACTATCACTTAGGGGACCCATTTAAAAACCAGAACAATCCTGTATTAGACACTGTTCAGCCAAATAATTAAAGGACAAGCCTATCCCTTGGCAAATTCTCACTTGAGCTCTCAATATCAGAAGTTGTCTCTTCAACAGCAGAAGTTAAGTGGCAAGTTTTGTTAGCACAATAGTAAGATCACGCTGTCAAACCACAGCACCAGGAGACTGCAAATGCATTTCTAGCTTTGACAGAAATCTTTGTGCAACATCTGTCACATTGCTTTCCTCTCCAAACACCCTTTACCTCACCCCATAAACCAGAATGATGACAACGATCATTTGTAGAGGCGACCATGGAGCTGACTTCAAAGACATCTGTACAGTCATCTTTTGCCAGAAGGCACTCCAGAGAGGCAGAGTGTTACCACCAGCAATCTGGTGTCAGAAGGCAGGGTAGATACCACCATACAGCTCCATCAGAAGAGGAACACTATCAGTAACGTGGCATTTCCCAGTTGGTATTCTTTCCATGTTCCTGGTTTCCTACCTGTATCCAGTATTGTTCCTGCCAACTACAAGGTGCTTTGGTTGTCTGTCACACATGTAAAGGTTAAAGTCATTTTCTGGCACCAGATCCACATCATGGAAAATGAAACAGTCCCAGTTGGCTTCTTTTAGGGCCTCTAGGTATCCTACATTCAGCAGTTTAGCTCGATTAAATTTGGTGTTGCCAGCCTGTGGAAGAGAACGGAGAAAAACCTCTGAAGAACACATCAAACCTTTTGAACCAGAACTGTTCCTGGGCATTTGTTCTGATGGCATAGCTCGCAACCACATTTGTGCATCACAGATTTTACAGCAGTAACTACACAAAGAGCTACCCCGTAACATTAGGTACAGCATCAGTATGGCCAATGATGAAAAGTGTTTCTTCAGTCTCTACTTGTCATGAACAAACACAGCCAGGGTCAGGAGAGCCTATGGTTATCTGGACAACAGAAGTATGTGTGCTGCACAATACAATTCTGCTACTATTGGCACTCCTGTCCTGGAGTTCCCATCAGGCTACATAACAAAGGAAATACCAGGAAACAGCTTAGAAACTGGCACTCCATACAACTGTTTTAGTAAGGCTTATGGAAGTTTGAAACAACACAAAATACAAAACCTTTACTCCCATACTGATTGGTTTATAGATATCAGAGCACCTGCCACAGATGATTTATGCTTGTCCACTCAGTTCAGAGGATAGCAACGCTTCAAGAGTCCACTGTATTTCCTTAAGTCACACAGTAGGTGGCAGAGTGGGAAACAAAAGGCAGATCTCTTAATTTTTAACTCCCATCTATAACACAATTATTATGCTGCACAGGGACTCACTCTAGCACAGAGCTTCACTTGACTTTTACTAGTCTTCATTGTTTGCTTTTGCTATAAGTTAGTGAATCTTCACTTTTTAAAAATATAATTTTTCACCTTTGAGGTATAAATACAAATATGCTTGCCTGGCAGTTGTTTAAGCTTACCATGTCACCATTCACTCTGGAGCAACAGGTGTGCTTATTTTGCTACTTATTTTTTACCAGGCTGTACACACATGCCGGCCTGTAAGAAGGCTTTCTGCTCCAAGGGCAAGGTGGTGAGTTGCCTTAAGCTCCCACCTGGCAGTCAGAGGGCCAAGCTCTGTGCCCCCAGAAACTGAAAGGACAATAATTTTCCAGACCTAGGAACCTGACGTACTTGAAAGAATAAAACTGCAATTTCCAAGAGGAAGGGGTCATTTGCTAGAAGCTGCCTGTTCCAAAAGAGGCTCCATGGAAGATAAGACAGGAGCTGGCTTCCCCAGACTGAGAGACAGATGTAGAAAAAGTAAATAAAGCATGTTTTATCGTTCTAAAAAGTGACGCTTTGCTCTGAAAAAGCAATTTGTTCACTATCACTAACAACCATCGGGTCCTGCACAGCGATTAATAAGATTTATGGCTCCATACCTGCAGTTAAGGAAATACAGCCTGCTCTGAGAAACTAAGAGAGGGATAACCAATTTCTCCCATTCTCAGTAAGGGAAGGGATGCACTTTCCATTAAAAATTTAGACACAATTCACCCAAAATCTATTATGTCAAATTCCTGACTTATTTTTTTAAGTGTCCTGTATATGAAAATCTGTCAGAAAATCTTCTCCTGATGACAAAAAGATAGGTTATTGAGTGAACAGAACAATTCAGATGACTGGTAAAGAACATATGGAGAACTTCACTTGCATTGGGTATCAAACCCAGCCTAGTTCAGCACCAACATTTACCACCTGCTGCTGTTCTGTCTCCCCATCAATAGTCAGCCACCACAGCCCACTTCTTGCACAAAGGTAGCCAAACAACACCTAAAATTACTTTCCAGGAAGGGCAGTTTTCAATGTTAGACCACATGCTGAACAAACAGCAAAGCTTACTCTCACCTTTTATTGAGGAAAGAATTGTCCTCCTTTGTTTCTATAGAAGAAAACACTGACCACAAGACAAACTTTGGAAAGGAATTATTTTCCCTTTAGGTATTACAAACTCACATGTTTTTTCAGCACTGCACTCATGTATGCATACATTTGTGCAGAGGAACACAACTTTCAAGACGTTACAAGCAGCCCATAAAGAAGAGATCTGGAATATGCCCTTCAATCGCTCACAGAGAAAAATAAAGGGCTTATTTCTTAATCTTCCTCCAAAGTAAACTCTGTATTTTAACAATTAAATCCTTTTTTTAACTATTCCTTTCCTCAAAAGATACTTAAAACAACTAATGACTTCACAAATGGAGAGTGAAAATGGATTTGCCATAAAAGAGTTTTGTTCGATCCACTTTCTAGTCTTCGGGTATGCCTATCTACATGGAAAGGTTAAGCAAAAGCTTCCAGTCTTCCAAATAAAAACTCTGATAGAACAAGTCCAGACTCGACACGGCTGCTCACATCAGACAAAACTTCCATACTCCAATATTACTTTTTGCTAACATGACAACAGCCATTCTCCACCTCACATATTCCAATAAATAAAGAACATATCCCCATTCTCCCAGTGATTTACTGCTAACCCCCGCTTGCTAGCTGGAGTGAGCTATTACATGTACAATTACAGTACATACTAATGTAGAAAAAAAAGCCACAGTTTCTCCACTGTATGGGCCACATGATGACTCTAAACAATGAAAGAACAATTTATTCCAGATGAAAGTAAACAACCTGTCATGACTTTTGTTGCTGTTCTGCTATGCCATTGAGCAAAAGTATAAGCTGTCACCTAGAACGCACTGACTCACACTGGTTAATTTACTTCAGCCTCTTTAAACAGAAGGGAAGAGAAACTAAATTAATTTATGAGCTTCTTCTCCTGCTGTCTGAAAAATCCACTTAGAGTCATGGAATTGTTTGGGTTGGAAGGGACCTTAAAGATCACTGAGTTCCAACCCCCCTGCCATGGGCAGGGACACCTCCCACTAGCCCAGGTTGCTCAAAGCCTCATCCAGCCTGGCCTTGAACCCTTCCAGGGATGGGGCATCCACAGCTTCTCTGGGCAACCTGCTCCAGTGTCTCACAGCCCTCACAGTAAAAAAGTTCTTCTTAATATCTAATTTAAATCTACCCTCTTTCAGCTTAAACCCACTACCCTTTCTCCTATCACTACATGCCCTTGTAAGAAGTCTCTCTCCAGCTTTCTTGCAGGCCCTGTCCAGGTACTGGAAGGCTGCTTTACAGTCTCCCCAGAGCCTTCTCTTCTCTACACTAAACCACCCCCAACTCTCACAGCCTTTCTTCATGGGAGGGGTGCTCCAGCCCTCTGATCATCTTTACAGCCCTCCTCTGGATCTGCTCCAACAGGTCCATGTGCTTCTTACATTGGGGACCCCAGAGCTGGACACAGTACTCCAGGTAGGGCCTCACAAGAGCAGAATACAGGGGAGAACCACCTTGCTCAACGTGCTGGTCACACTTCTGATGCGGCCTGGGATACAGGTTGCTTTCTGGGCTGCAAGCACACATTGCCAGGTCATATTAGATCAAAGCAGATATTACAAAACAGAAACCTATACTGCTTTGAGCTCACATGACCAGAACATAAGCACCTTAGACGGAAGACAACGTGGCACAAGTCTATATGCTCAACTTTTAGCTGCTGACTCAGCAGAGTTCAAAAGAATTCAAACAAAGAAATTCATAAATCTTTCAGGAACCAAATGCTCTGTCATGACTACTTCCCACAACCCTTGCTGGGCAAGTACCTACAAGCAGTAGCTGGCATGTTTAGTTTGAGACAGTAGAAGTACAACTACGTGATACACACAACTCAGGCATGACAGTCAGTAAGCAGATGGGAGAGGAGAGAAAAGGTAGATACAAACTGAGGCCTCCAATCCAAACAACTCCAAATTTAAAGACAGAAGATGTCAGCCTAGTTACACAGGGGTATACTGCAAGAGAAGCAAGTTGCATTAGTACTTGCACATACTTGTACATACAAAAGATGCTTACCTTGAACACTAGCTCAGAAATAGTAAGCTACTTAGACCAAGAAACAGACACCAGTTAAAGACACTGTTTGTTAATACTTCCCAGCTTTGCTAATAGCAGCTGAGATCCTGTAGTGCTACCAGCAAAGCCTGCATGCACCACTGCATCCCTCAACAAGTAGAAGTGTTTGAAACAGGCTTGGAGGACTGATGTTAGACAGCAGAGGCAGCAGCATACCTCTCCTCAGACTGCAGAGCACTGACATCATCCCCACCCAAATATGTCTCTGCATAGTTGCCTCACCTGGTGAATAACGTAGATGCCGTAGTCCAGCTGCTGTCTTTGTAGGAAGGGGTGGAGGTGCTCCAGGAGGTACAGCAGATGCTTCTCTCGATTGCGGTGTGGGATGATGATGGCCACGTGCTGCAATGCTGAGCACTCTGTAGGGTGGTACCGGCCCTTGGCTACCTGAGGGTTCTCCTTTTGTACTTCTTCTAGTGTGAGAGATGCTTTGAAGGTGAGTTTGCTGGCACCTCCTGTAGGAGAAGAAAATAAGTTTTCTTAAGTTGTTTCTGGTTGTGGCTAGTCCAGTCACCTAATGAGGCACTCTGTAACCAGCACAAAAAACCCAGGTTCAAGCCCCTATTGGTTTCCATGCCTTTCCAAGAGAAAAGTAGTGCTACAAGGACATTACATGGGCAGAAGAAGGAGAAGGTATTGAGCGTTTAGCTGCTTAAACAGGCTAGTGATGATTTAAAAAGAAAAAATATTTTTTAAATCAAGAGAAGTTCCACCCTACTGCAGGAGGACTGGCCAGAAACTGCTGCCAGGGGAAAGCAGAGGAGAGCAAAGTGGAAAGAGATGTAGACTGTGAGAAGTCATCTCTACTTAAAGAATGAAAAAAAGCATCAGAGGCTTAAGGCTACATATTTGCAAGATAAAACGTATCAAAGGCTGTCTGGAGCCAAGTGAGATTTCCATCACTTCTCTTGCTCTGAGCTATCACCATTCCAGCCCCTCCAGGACTCAAACCCATGAAAGAGAACAATGCAGGCAACAGTGCAGGCAACGGTGACAGCTACAGCCGCAGTGCATTTACTTAAGCAAATACATCTTGAGGGCAGGGGTAGGGTTGTGCAGCTAGACAGCAGCTTTTTGGACTACATTAGGGAGGCAGGAAGAATCCAGCTTCCCAAATCCCTAATCAGGTTCACCAAAAAGAAGATGGCAATTACATGGTACTGCAAATCAGAAACCTGGTGCTGCTAGCAATACTAAGACAAAAAAAGGTGGATAAATACAGACAGTCAAACCAAAGAAACAGTCACCTATTTGAACCACCATCATAAGTAGTGCTAACCCCCAACACAGCTGTGAAGTCCTTCAATTGTCAAGATAGACAAAAGTACCTCTAATAACAAAAAGGCAAAAAATTGAGGGAAGGTGAAAAGACTTTTGGTTGAGATAAAGACAGTTTAATAAAAAAAGCAAAAGCTGCACATGTGAGCAAGGCAAAAAGAGAAATTCATTCACTGCTTTCCATCAGCAGGCAGGTGTCTAGCCATGTCCTGGGAAGCAGGGCTTCAGCATGTATAGCAGTTGTTGGGAAGACAAACACTAACCATGAACCATCTCTCTTCCTCCCTTCCCTGAGCTTTTATGGCTGAGCATGATACAAGGTCATATGGTAAGGATATATCCCTTCGGTCAGTTGGGGTCAGCTGTCCTGGCTGTGGCCACTCTTACCCTCTTGCCCACCACCTCCAGTCTACCAGATTAGGGAGAGCCAGGGACAAAACCTCAGTGTGCAAACTGGTGAGTTACCAAAGCTGTCCATGACAAACTCAAAGCACACCACCATACACGCTGCTATCCCAGCCAGACCCAGCACAGACACTCTGCTACAAGTCACTTCCTCACCCAGAAGTGCTTACTGCAACTGGTTGCACTGTATTTGTTTCACAGGAAAAAAGTGTCCAACTGTAAAACAGCTAGGAAGAAAACCAAGTCAGCAGTACCAAGCAGATGTAACTTGTTAGAAAGAAGAAGAAAGCATCATCACTTACGCAGGTACGGAGACAGAGTTGGGCAGCGACCCAGAAATGACTTCACCGTGGGAGCTTTCTCAATTGATTTGATCTTTTCTTCCTTTTGACTGTCCTCCGGGCTAGTTACCTTTCTGAAATCCTCCACCATGCTCTTAGCTTTAGAAATTTCCTGTCCAGAGTCCACAAGGTAACTGAATGTGGCCCATATCACCATCAAACACAAAGTGACAAGCACCATCACTTTGAACTTATAGAAGAGGTGAAAGATATACAAGCTCATGGCCATTGCTCTCCCTGATCCACAAAATGCTCCCTCCACTCTGACACTGAGGCAGGCCACTGCGTGTGCAGTGGGGATGAAAGCAAAGGTCCCAAGAAGAACATCAAAGTAATGAAGGAAAAGTAGGGAGGGCTGCCACCACACTTCCTGCAGTTTTGCTATTCATGGAGCCATGGTGCCATTTGCTCTTCAATTGTCAGCAAATACAACTTAACCTGGACAAAGAAAAAAAGGAAGAAGAGAGTTAGTTTGTACCACCCTCTACTGCTGTACCTTCACAGACTTCATGAAAAGAACTTATGACAAAACATGAAAGAAACATCAAATATGAACTACTGGGCAGAAACTAAGACACTGAGCCTTGGTCCCAGCTCAGCCACAAACCAGTTGCATGATTTTAAG